TGTTGATTGCTTTCTTGGGTCTCTTCCTCAGCAGCAGACAAGTTTCATTGGCTTGCAGGTGGAACAGCAACTACTTCCAAATGGCCTGGATGATGCTCGCTGTTTCCCTGCTTTCAAGGTTGCCCCCAACAAATGGTCTTCTCACAGCGTTTCCAAACGACCAGTGCTTGTGAGAAATTCTGCAACTGCTTTAATTATGAGGTGCTGTGTTTGTTTTTGATAGTCTCCTCCTCCCAGTAATATTCGTGTGGTCAGAGTCTGGATTTCCAAGCCAGAGAGGACGCAAACGAAATGTCTCTTCTTCTTCTTCTTAAATCAAAGTTTATGGGAGCCTCTGAATACTAGTTCAATGTGGCCCATGACAGGACGGTTTAAGGAAATTACGGTGTTAGTAAGCTAAGTAAGGAAAAATTAGGTTCAGCAACAAATTTAGGTGTTCTGAAGAGTTGTCCATGTTTCTTGACGGCTGAATGACTGCAGAATGGGGCCACCAAAGTGGAGACCACACCTAATGTGGCCCCATGACAGGACGGTTTAAGGAAATTACGGTGTTAGTAAGGAAAAATTAGGTTCAGCAACAAATTTAGGTGTTCTGAAGAGTTGTCCATGTTTCTTGACGGCTGAATGACTGCAGAATGGGGCCGCCAAAGTGGAGACCACACCGGGGTGGAAAATCCCACTCCCACTCCAGGGCAGAGAGTCCCACTCCAGGGCAGAGAGCGCCTGGGGGCACTAACCACTCACCTGGGGGCAATAACCACTCACCTGGGGGCACTAACCACGCACCTGGGGGCACTAACCACTCACCTGGGGGCACTAACCACTCACCTGGGGGCACTAACCACTCACCTGGGGGCACTAACGGCTAACCACTCACCTGGGGGCACCAACCACTCACCTGGGGGAAGTAACGCTGAGCTAATGAGTTTCCGGAAACTCACGGTATACGAACTTGCAAGAATAGAATGAATGTGAAGAATATGAAGAGAATGAATGTGAAGAATATGATGAGAATTAATGTGAAGACGGGGCACCAACCATAAACCCAGACCCGGAGGGCGGAGGCACCAACCACACATGGGGGCTGGGGCTATCTTAAGGTTTTTGTAAAGTAACGGTTCCAAGCACTCAAACAGTACACCTGGCGAAGCCAGTCAGGACTAGGCGACGGCCGCGATGCAAAAAAAAATTTTTCTCAAATCGTATCAGCTGAACTGCATTTTGCAGTGGGCATTGCTAGGTATTTGTCTATAGCAAGTAGCTCCTTCGCCGGTTCAACGCCTCGGAGCGAGACAGCAATGTACAGCATCCACGGGCACTTAAAATTTGAGAACGATGACGTGGCAGCCGGCTGAAGCCGGCTTTCGTCATGGGAGCTCAGCACAGCACACCTTCCGCTTCAGCGGTCAGAACAGAACCCCAAATGTCTCTTCTCTTTTGCAACCCGGACTAGGACCAAACAGCTGTCCAAATTGGCGGAACAGGATTTAGTGATTGCATGGAAACGAACTAATCTTTCGCAATGGCACAATGATTAAATAATTGCAGATAATCTAAAATGACGTCGCTGGGGAGCCGGTAGTAGGCCGCCTAATCTGGTGAGTGTACTGGAGTAATGTATACGTTGGGGTAATGTTTTTTTTCGTAACCCATCTGGATGTGAAATGCCTGTAGTTCTGCGTTCCTGTCTACTTATGCCAGAGTTCTGATGTGCTGTGTTTTCCCCTAGGATTCAATATATTAGTAAATACATGTAATTAATCCACCACATTACCCGTGTAGGCTATCCTGTCTGCCGGCAGTGTAGTTTGGAATAGCAGGTGTCATGAGCGATTGCCTGCGCTTTGTCTCGTAAGATGGGATGGCGACGTGAAATTTGTCCGAATTGCATGAAATTCGACGTGCTTTATGTGCAGGCCATCAATTTTAAGTTGTAGGATGTTAAGGTTTTGTTTGCGGTATGCTGGCTTGTGGTCGAGCGGGATAGACTGCGAGGCGGAGAGGGAGACCCAGGCGGGGGGCCAGGCTGCAATAGAAGCCGAGGGGAGGCACCGGCGAGTGAGGGACCTGTGTACGCAGTTGAATTTGCGGCGCGAATGTCTTGGCCAGTGAGAGGCACAGCGAGCAGAACCAGTTGTTGGTATAGTTTATAAGGGTTGAAAATAAAGTGCACTGGAGGTGGAACATGCGTTGGCAAGTGTTGCACAGGACAGATCCCCCACCCACGCGAGAAGATGTTATACGCGTGGTGCGGGTGGGGCATCCGGTGACAGGGCCCGGGTTTGGCTTGATGTCGCCACCGAGCAGGAGGAGAAGGTACAGGGATCTGGCAACTGGCTCGCTAAGTCCCGATGCAGCAAATTTCTCTACATAACTACTTTTATATTTAAGAAAAGAGTTTAGATAGAATTCATACTTGTGAATCACTACATCCGTTGGCAACATTCATTTCCGGTAGGTTTCTCGCTGCTCACTTCTACCCACTCAGAGCTCACTCTCATACCAGCCGCTTCTCCGGTAGGATCGTGGTAAGTTGACTAACTTAGAAACATTGCCTTTCGGCTTGACTTGTCTCCACTTGTGAATTGTGATCAATGTAGCGAAGCCGTGATAGATGGAATCTGTAGAGAGTGCAATGTTCTGTGTTAGTCAAATTTGTCATGCCTTAAACGCACTTAATAACTTGCTTACTTACCAAATTGAACCGTGTGTTCAAAATTAACAAAGCTTTGTTTAGCAGCAACACATCACGTCAGCACCAACTAAACACACATTGCTGCCCTCCACGTGCTCCTGACACCTCGTCATCACCACGTGCTCCTGACACCTCGTCGTCACCACGTGCCCTGGTCTCCTAGTTAGTCCCGGGGCCACCATCATCGAGCAAGTATTATCCTAACTCTTATTACCCTGGCCTTAAAAACCCCGAAACGGAGACAAAGTCAACAATAATTAAATTTGATCTGGTTCTAGCCTCCACACCCCATTAGAAAAAATCTTGTTTCAAGCCAACTGGTTAGCGTCCTCCTGTCGCAGAACTCTGCGGGCCATCTCCCCATGGCTCACCAGTAAGGTTGAAGTGGGGCCAATTTAGCACTCCGAGAGGGGTCTCGCCACGACGTAGATGAGCCCCTAATAGCGAGTGCCTGGGCAGTAATCACAAGTGGTGCGATAAAGAAACTGAACTTGCTTGGGCAGCAGTGACCAGCGGTTTTGCGTGATGAGTTAGCTGCTTCGGAGGGATGGACTGTTAAAATTGGATAACTATATGTAAAGTGACATTTATATATGTAGGTTACAACGTGAACTGTTACAAGTCATCACGTTGTCAAACTAATGCTTTTGTAACGAAAGTTTGCATTGTCTCTATATCTCGTCAATACGGGGAAGATAGGCTAACATGGTACAGCAGTGCTACGTTTTGGCCTCCTGTAGTTAAAACTTTGAATTGCTGCTCTAAAGAAAACAGCTACACTACCATACCGTCTAGCGTGCTTGCCCGTAAAAAGGCAAACTTGAGTAAACCGTTAAGACAAACTGAGGCCCTGACATGCTCCATTTCATTTCGGAGGCTCTTATCCAGCGATTTGAACAAAAGAAGAGTTCCAGTCATGCTTCTACTTTGTCTACTAAGCTCATTTTTACGGTATGACACAAATTTTGCACTTCCCTGCTCACCGAATCATGCCAATGTGCTTTTTCAAAACGCAATAGACACGAGTCAAGCGTTTGATCTCAACAAAAGAAGCCAAATAAGAATCGCTGGGAGCTTATAGGTAGGGGAGGGGTTTCCGTGTGGCGTGGCAGGGTTGCCCAGTAGTTAAAGTTCAGAGTACCAGAATTGGAGCAGAGAGGAGCGGGTTCAATCCCAGTTCTGTGCGACAGTTTCTGGTCAGAATCGGCAAGGAGGACGGGCGGTTGAGTACGGCGGAATTGTAGCAGTGAGTTGCGAGTTCGAGCCCGCAACAAGCTGTGGATGATCTGCGATGTTATGAATCAGTGACAGGCCTACGGCACAATAAACGCTGAAACCGCTATATTTATAAGGTCCCAGAAGTATTACTAGAATTCGAAACCTGAACCAACACAGGAGCCACGGCTATAAACTACAAAACCGCGTTGCAACTCATCCACGCGACATCATTTCTTCTCGCTTCGAATCACCGACATGTGGAACAGCCTCCCCGATCACATCGTTGACGCTCCGGGTATAAACTCGTTCAAGAACAGACTAGACAAAACTATGGAGAAATATATGTTCAGACTTGAAATGCCTAGCACTAATGCACCATATCGTACCCGGTGGAAATTTAGCAGCTATTTCAAACTGTCGTCAATTTTGAAAAGATTCCGGTCGAAGGACCTGTTTTTAGATTTCCTGTGGACAATTCACGAAAAGTACAAAAATCGGTGACAGCTGATAGGCCACATCAGGCCTATTATTCAGTGCTGACATCACTATGCTATGATATGTTATATAGCTATAAACTATGGTATCGGATGATAATTATCCCTCGGATACACCCTATACACTCTACAGTATAGTTGGTGCGTTTGCTCACACTGAAAACGAAATACCTTTCAACTGCTCAAAATATATTAATGGAATTTTTGCATAAAATTAGACCAATAATCTGCTCAAGATGTGCTAAAATCGGACTTTTTTTCAATCCGACTCCATTCGGAAGTTACCAGGATATTCATGCATTTAATGTAGAAGAGGCAAAAAATGTTGCAAGCTGCAGAGCTCAACCGGATCGACACTTCAGCGAACTCAAGCGCGAACTCAAGCGCGATCTCAAGAGGCAAACCTAACTTCACCTTCAACTTACCCAGTCATAAATCCATAAATACCGAACGGATTTCTTTCAAATTTGAAATATAAGTAGATAATATTAGTAATTTGCGGACAGATTTATTTCAGATTTTTACATCAAATACTTTTATATTAATACGGAAAACATGACTTCATTTTCAACTTACCCAGTCATAAATTCATACATACCGAACGGATTTCTTTCAAATTCATCGTAATTCAAACTATACTTCAAACAATTAACATTTTTTAACATTGTTTACATCCAATCCGTTGCGGAAAAAATGTTTAGTATAACCCGAACATGATATATCGTTCAAAATCCAGTGAAAATTTTCACTTGATCTCCGAAAATCTACAGTTTTTTTCGGGTTGCACAATTTTCCACGTTTTCATTAGCGTTCACCCCGCAGACAACTGGCCGCTGAGACGCCCGTTGAGTAGGAAAATACGTAATAGTGAGTTCCAGAGTCGATTATTTTATGCAGTTTCATTAGGATGCGTCACCAATCTGAGAAGTATTTCATGCCCATGTCAATATTATGCACCAATTATTCAGACTTAGATCTCGGAGATCAGCAGCGCTTAGCGACCATAATGAGGACCGCAAAATAGTGGAACTTGTAATAATTCCATGTATTTATATATATCGTGCATATATAGGCATAATTTGCCAAATTCAATCTCAGGAATGGATTTCGCAAGTTATGACATAGTTCTGTCATGTATTTTTAGGGTAAAAATTGTACACATCAATTTACGCCTAATTTCAGTAAGTCTTCACCGTCGCTCATTTGTTTTCTGCCTCCGCCATATTGGAAGATAATCTATGAAAGTGCAGACGTGTGTATCAATTGTCTACAAACAGATCCAATAGTCCAAGTGCGACACAAAAATGAAAAAACTTGAAGATATGCGAGTTGTGGAATTACGCGCTGAGTTAGAAAAAAGAAATTTGGATAAAAACGGTGTCAAAGCTGTTTTGATCGAGCGCTTGAAAAAGGTGAGAAGCCATTTTTACAATCTAATAGCCTACCTACCATCCAGGTTTCATAGTGTGGCATAAGAGTCGTTGTAATAGTATCTCAGGGGTCATCTGGTCGTTGAAAATCCACATGCCACTCGTTGGTCGGTAGGTTTTCCAGTCGTTGGTCGGTACTCGGTAGGTTTTCCAGTCGTTGGTCGGTAGGTTTTCCAGTCGTTGGTCGGTAGGTTTCTTAGTAGCTAGTTTGGTCACAGCTCACTTAACCATAGTGGCAAAGCAGAGAGTTTTTTAGACTCTCCCTCAAGTTCATTTTTGAGTCCTATAAGTAGACCAGTAAAGTATCCTGGATACCAGCATCATCATACATAAGAAATTGGTTTGCATCTTGGGTAAATGAGGAAATTAAAAATGAACTGATTCTAAAAACTCTCTGGTTTGTCACTATGCACTTAACAACAAAAAAAATCATAGTTAATAAGAAGATTAGTAGATAACCTCAAGTTTTTGTACATTGGATGGTTTAATTTCTTCACACCAGGTACCGTGCCTTCTTTACTCCTGAATGAACAATGACGTCTGACCGCTTCTAATAGTGATACGTAAATATTGCGCGTAATCAAACGCAAGCTATCCCTAAAATGCAGAGGGCACAGCTTTCTCGGAATGATGAACTCATTTTTAAATACAAAACTAAGATATTAATTTTGTTTCATTTTCAACTCTTTATCCTATGCAGATTGCATCGAATTTATTCATTTTCAGCGTTGTCAGCTGCACCTGACAATAAAATAAAAGACATCAATGCAGCACATTCCAATATGTTAGAGTAATCGGCAATACTTGAAATTAAAAAGAAGCACAGAATAGGCAAATGAAGCTTGTGCAATGTATAACAAGCTACGACAAACTTCTTTGGCTATTAAAAGGGCTTTCTTTAGTCAAGAAGTTTAGTTAACTTTAGTTTAGGGTCCAGTCCTGGTCCAGACTGACCAGTTATCAACTTATCAGTTATCAGCAACAGTTACTATAACAAAACTAAGAATTTTTATTTTAATTTCATAACCAGTAGCACTTCTTGCACAATTAAAGTTACAATGAATATCCAATTCAAAATCACGTATCCAAAGCTAAGCATGTCGCATCGAACGGGTTTGCATCTTCCGATGATGGCAATGAAATAAATTGCAAATGTTGCCTTGATCTACAGGTTGAAAATTCTTGTAAAACTAAATACAGGGATTAATCGACCGTTGCGTTAGAAATGTTTGAAAATGTTTTCCATGTAAACAGAACTTGATGTATACAGAACAATTAAATCTTTATTTTTAATAATGAATGAACTAATTAATTTATGACTTTCCTGTTCAATCGTATATCAAAACAATACTTTTGTAGCGACCTTGTATATATATTTTCTCCAGTTACCCCCCGTAACTCATTTTTGAGGAACGTTGCTAGCCTATCGAATTTTAGCAGAGTTACCCAATAACTCTGACTCAACAGTATTATCCATTTTATTGCCTTAAGCATCATTATCAATTAGCAACTGCAGTTGATTTTCTGTTGAATATTATTTGGCTACATATTAATATTATTAGCACCGACCTAGGATATTACAACGTCAAGTAACTCAAGTTGTCATAATCATTTGCATATCTGTAATACCATTCGTAATCTGGCCTTCGGACCTTGACCCAGTCNCAACAATAAAATTTGTCTCTACTGTAAGTTCAGCACGTGTTAATATACAGTCTGACCGCTTTGACATGACCGCAACTATGCGCGATCTTCAACAAACGTTTTGTTTATTTGTTTACATTACGATGTTTATGTTTTTTCTGCAAGATATTTTTGGCGGAAACGGTAAAGCAATGCGGATTGCGGAAGTTGAAAATTTTATGAAATGACATGTTTGCAAAGTGCAAACCGCAATTTTTTAATCGAACAAAAATTTATGACATTCAAGCTGCGAGATTTCATACCTACTGAAATTATATGATATTAGAGCCGCGATATTTCAGACAAAAATAGGACTTTTCCAGACTAGCAGCCAGGCACATGCCATGGCATTGAGATTTGAGGCTTGACTTGAGGCTGAGGGTTCGGACGTTCGGTCAACTCAGTCAGTCAGTCAAGTGTCGACAGCAGGCTGGTAATATTAATTACTCTTATTGACTCATGCGAGTCATTACTGCAATTTGCAGTCTGTAAATTGATGCATTTGTTGCAACACAAATGAAATGCACAATCAACACATTCGATGCTTCACATTATGATTATACAGAGAGAGAAGCGGAGAACCAGAACCATAACAAATTATCGAATAAATATTTGCCAAAAAGTGTTGAACTGACACTGACACAAAGCAAATTGTTATAACAGAATGCAATAATAATGCCTTTAATGAAAACGTGCCGCCATACTCGCTTCCCTTTTTAACCCTACGTCACGCGACGAATTAAAGATCATTTAAATGCGGCGGAGATGTTGGGCTTCCAGAACCTAAAGATCGGCTACCGGTAGGCAGATCTTAAAGCGGATATAAATTGGTAAACGATATCGTTTTACGAGTTGTGAAGGGAAGTCAGAGTAATGATATTGTATGCCATAGCTCTTTGATACAATACATCATAATCCAATGTTCAGGATGAGCGTAATTTTTATCAACACCGAAATAAGAGGAATATCCCGCTTGACTGAAATGTTTGTTGCCTGCAACATTACCCAATCATTGTTGCAGCCGCCATTGATTAATAACTGCTCTCACTCTTATGATAAATTATGAGATTGGCGAAATTAATTCAAAGCATATCCCAAACTAAATTACACATTGATATTTCGATATTATTAGACGTTATTCAATTTATGCAAGTATCGGATGAGCATGTTGATTGTTGAACATAGCAGTGAGGTGGAGTTCGTTCAATATTCAGCTCAAATCAAACTGCTAGCGCATAGCGCAATATCAATAATAGCCAAGTGAGAGATACAAAAATGGCACTAAATCTTTAGCGTTAGAAATAGCAACGACTCGCCCAAGGTGCCGCAAAATTAATCAGATATCATGAGATATTACAATATAACGTTAAGAAAATTTTGCGTTAAGATGTTCGGGCAGATTCTATGTCACAAATCTTTCGTCTAAAAACACTCTCTGGGCCGCATCACATAAAATCTCATATGAGATTGTCAAGTTCAAGTATAGGGGAAAATGAGGAAGAACTTAAGAAGTGGAATAAGTTCTGGGTACGAAACTGAAAGGGTTTGATGTCAGGCAGCGTATTTTACCAGTCTTTCCTTGAATTGACACTTTAGTTATTAGTTAAGTAGAGCCTTAGTCTGTAGATGCCTCTTCCCGGTCAGAGTTGGGTAATTATTTGACCTGCCTCCATCCTTGGAAGTGTTTCAGTCCGCCTGACTGGAGGTCCACTTCATTTTGACGTTCCACTAACGCGGGTCAACTCACGATCTAGGCTTTGCTTGTGCAGAAACTAGCACCTGCTGGTAGTTGGGAAAAATAGGTAATGCAATACCCTTCGTCTAATAACTGAAATGATCGTCTGTTATCAGTTACGGTGGGAAATAATTTGCAAATAAAAGCTGAAAGGCTGTCAATTCCGGCTTAACCCAGTACCGCCCGACATGACCGGAGCAATATTGTCACAAGCCTACTTCCCAAAAAGGATACGTTTTAGTGAGCGCAAAATGATTTGCGCTGATGGTTGCCGCCACGTACAACTTTAAAATGTTCTCTGTTGCGTACAAGTGTTCTTAGTTTTCTGCGCTCCGTTAAACCGTGGTCGAGAGGTGGTCTCCGTTAAACCGTGGTCGAGAGCGGACGCTCGTGCTCGTGGTCCCAAATTTCTACATATTTAACTTTTTACTGTGCCGTTTTCGGAACTCTTTTCGCATTTTTTTATGATCCGTGCCAGAGAATAACCGAATTTCAGTTCAGTTCAGTGAAGTCAGTAAAAGTGAGTGCAAATAGAATGAACAAGCCAAACAAGTGAAAGTGTTTTCATTTTTAAATAACGCGGACTTGTAGTTGAAAAATACGGAAGAAATGGAAGTAAAGAACAACACAGCTGATTTATCTGAAGTCGCTAATGAAAGCCCACGTGAATTGCTTGATAGAGAACGTAGGAAGGCCAACCTGGTCTGGTTTGGGATTCCTGAAAGTAACGCATCTGATGCGAAGGACCTTGTGATGGATGACTCGGCCTTTGTTGTAGACTGTTGCAGCAAGGTACTCAACACATCGATTGATGTTATATCTTGCAAGAGGCTACGCTCGAAGGATGCTGCTGGCAACACCTTAAAATTAATGAATGGTGGTAAATTTCGTTTTTATTGATGAGCAAAATAGTTTTCGGAAAGAAAGAAAATCAGTAGATAACACAGTTGTGAAGAAGCTTGTGCATGAAAACACGAGCAAAATTCAACACAGGCTTTAGAGATGTGAAAACAGACTGGTGAGGCGTTTTAGAGCTATTTAACTACCTAGCAATTATTTTCATGTCATCAATCTGACCAGGCACTGCGTCTCAGATACGTTCGCCTTTTTTCAATCATATATGATATATGCAATTTCATATCATCAGGAGAAACCTTCTCTCTGTAACGGATCTCGCTACATATAACTAATTTTATGTATATCATATCTCGCTACGTAGAACTAATTTTAAGTATATTACATTATTATTAATACTCTCAACATTACGTTTATCGTATTAATAATTTGCACACTATCATAAGAATAGTTCAAAGGAAGCTCAATTCGGTTGATGGCAAAATCACTTCCGCCACGCTCCTTTCATAGTCTCCTCTAGGTGTAGTCTCCTCTGTCTGCACCTTCGTCTGCGTACCAACGCCATCTTCGTCTGCGCTGAGACTGCGCACCGACGCCATCTTCGTCTGCGCACCTATGCTTCTCCACGTGCATTCAGTGACCTTCCCCACGTGCATTTAGTGAATTTTCCCTACATGCATTCAGTGACTTTCCCCACGTGCATTCAGTGAATTTCCCCACGAGCAGTTAGTGACACTTGACTAAAGCGTGCTTACGGTGTTATCTCCACGTGTGAACATCTCTACGTGCCCACGTCACTACGTGTTTTGACTTTTGGGTAACATCTTCTCGTCTCTCGGCATCGCTCAATCATCTCTGCCTGTGCAACGTCTCCACGACGACGTCACGTCCACGTCTCACAACGCAAACACGTGCATCACGTCGACCTTCACCACTGGCCTGGTCTTCCAGTTCCTCCTGGATCATCACATTGAGCAGGTCACGTAGCTTAACAAATAAATTCACATTATCAATTTATTGTGTGTTTACTTCCCCCGACCAGTTTCGTCTTGCCTCACCTAAAACTTTCCATCTGAATTTAGTGAATAATACAAGTTGTCTTGGCCTTAAATAAGCCTCTGATACGAGTCTAATACGATATACCTGGTATATGGATAGGTAACGTAAAAAATACCCATTTCTCTGCCCCTTTGGGAGGGTTGCAGAATTTGTTTCAAGAAGCGACATTTATCACAGTGTAAAATACGGCAGTTTTTAATATAAGAAGTATTGTAGATTAACTGAAGGCGCTTTATTAAGACATTATATCGGAAACAAAGGAGAAGTTTAATTTTTTCTATGCATTTACAAGAAATTCCCACCGTGTGACCTTAGAACCATGTGACGAGAACAACAGGAAGTCATGGCGTTAGACTCTCTTGACAGTGTGTGTTCGTCTGGCTGTTTTAAATGTTGACTGACGCTGTGTCTGCTGACTTCAGTGCAACCGAAGGTTTTTAGGCATAATATTGCCTTCATTGATAGAAGCCACTCAGTTCGGGTTCCAGCAGCGCAGGATATGAGTAGGCGGGAGCCAACTTTAGAATGGAATGGATAAGTGCTTATACACGGGGCGACTAGTCGAAGCATTCACCAGCTAGTCGCCTCTTAGTATAGTATAGTATCTTCGGCATTAAATAAATAGGCCTGGATAGGCCTGTCGCCGATTCTTGTACTTTTCTTGACTAGTCTGGCCTTACGGACGGTAGATTTAAAATCGCTTCTAGATATCAGATGTTCCGTAGGGTACGAGGCATTTTAAGACTGAACATATGCTCATGCATGGCCTTGTCTAGTCTGTTCTTGAACGCGTTCATACTCGGAGCGTCAACAATATCTTCAGGGAGGCTGTTCCACATGTCAGTGACTCGAAGCGAGAAGAAACGTTGTCACGTGGATATCGACTTAAGACGTTTATCATCACAAATATTAGTTGAGTCGACTCGACTAATTATAGGAGTAACAAATTAGTCGAAAATTATTGAAGTAACAAACAACGAACAATCAGGATTGACTAGATACTCGAAAATGTGGAAATATCTGTCTATATTTGTGTTTGACCATAAACTGCATTATCCTGGGAGTTGCCACAAGCAAAAATTCGGCTATGCAATGAATTATAAGAAAGTTCCTTCTAGATGGGAAGGATATCATCATATCAGGGAACTCATGTGAGCGCACCTTTTTCAGATTAAAAACGCCTTCGACCTTAATCTTGGCTCCTGCAGACGTGTAAAAACACGTACTTCAGTGGGCCAACCACATACATAGGCGATCAGGCACCGTAAATCACGGCATGTACTGGAAGTTATGGTCATATCTATTATGGATCACGTTTACTAACAAGGCATCCAATTAATACGTTGATCATACACGTTTTCAACGATGTTAAAAAAATATCTCGATAATAAATCTTCGGAAGGTAACGCCCGCTTTCCCCCATACAGTCGCGACAATGTGACATCGTCTTGACACGAGACGCTTCTTTGCAGTTTCTATCACAAGATCCACATTTTAGTTTGAATACGTTCATTTTCATGCAAAATAATTCGTTTTGTGTAGTAGAGGGCGCGTCCAAAACAGCACCTAAACATTATCGCCCAAAGGATCAAAAAGATTCAGTAGAAAATGTCCCCAGGAACCTGGTACCCTTTCATCATTACAGCTCAGGGGTCAAAAGGGGATTTGGATTTACTAATCTCATCCAAAATGACGCGATTTCTCTCTACAGGAGTTCCATCTCACGAGGGAAAATAAAACAATTCACGTACAAAACTCCACTTAATGTTCACTTGACCAGCTAACGACACTATCACCGATAGGCTTGATAAAAAGCCTGGGTGATGTACAAACAAAAATGAAACATATCAATGCAATTAATTTCAAGACAAGTTAAGAGCACCAACCAGTCATCAGGAATGATTACTCAGCAATACTGATCGAACTAATCATACGAACAATGCCGGACAGTGACTAATTAATCGATTCAAAAAATAGTACACAAAGCTTGGGAACGCACTCGCACAGAAGCCTTGTGAAAAGCAAAAAAAAAAAAAAAAAAAAAAACACTTGCGCGAACTTAACTGCTAAATAAGTCAACGAACTGCAGGGCCACTGGCAGTCGCGGAACATTCGTTTTATCAGACATAATTTGCTTGCGCTGCACATTGTGCCGTCTGCACGCCAACCTTGGAAATGTAACGCGGCAAACGTGCACCATCTGCACACATGAAACACAACGCGACCACAGAAAAGGGGCAACACAGTACGGATGAAGTAAAAATGCTATCGGTACACCACACAGAGAACGGCGGTGAAGAATTACAGCTCATCCTTGGTGGATTTGCCGCTGCGCGTGTAGCCCTTGAGCTCGTCAGTTGCGTGCTGGGCGATGTACTTGATAAAGTCGTCGAGTTCTCGCCCTCCCTGCACATGAACAATTCATGATTCTTAGTTAGTAATGAATAAAATTTCTAGTGGCAAATATCTTTTACACATAACGTTTAAATTATTCCATAATCATCGATCATAACGAAACATACGAAGAAAATAAAGAATATTTGCTCTCGAAATTAATTCTAGACTAAGATGATTAAGAAATTAACTGCCAGAGCTCCACGCTGCACGTGGGCCAACCTACATAAATACAGTAGACATCCCCATGAAAAGCCTCATCAGTAGTTAGTCTTGAAGACACGTCTGGGTTTGATAACCGGAAACTCGCCATTCAACTCGAATAAACAAAACGACGGGTGACACATGCTACGAGTTACTGACCTCGTAAGGCACAGGCTTGCCAGACTTAGGCTTCCAGTACAAGGTCGGGAAACCTCTGACATTGAACGCTGGTGGGACATCATTGGCAGTAGCGTCCATTTTGATGATGTCAACATCTTCGCCAGCCATCTGCAATACAACAGAAAATCATTCCTGTTTATAGAGACGAAACTGGGTAGGGAAGGAACCATTAGATTGGGCCAAAGTATTCTAAAAAAAATAGTATATTGGTTAGAACTGAGTTCAACGGTTAAAATATAGACAATGATTATGAACAATTGCAGACGTGAGGGATTAACATGTGCAAAAAAGTACTATCAAGCAATGAAATCAAATTGACAACTGAGAATAGGAGGAACTCAAATGGTTCCATACCATCAAAAACATTTCATGGGTTCGCAACTCCGCCAGCCAATCACTGGCAGTATTTCAGGCTAGATCCACTAATCACAGACGAAAAATGGCCGCAACGTATACTTAAGTCGGTCAATAGAGTACGGCAGCAGGATTGATTTGCGACGAGAAGCGACTCACCGCGTCGCCGAGCTCATCATAAATGGGGGTGAGTTTCTTGCAGTGGCCGCACCATGGCGCGTAGAATTCCACCAGTGCGTCCCTACCGCTGTTGGTGACCACCTCATCGAAGTTCTTGCCCACCGCCACGATCACGTTGCCTTGGATCTCAGGTATGGGCTCAGACTTCACGAAAGGCTCCAGCTCGCCGGCCTTCAGTTGCTTCAAAAAGCTCTCGAAGCTTTCCAGGCTGAACGAATAATTTCCAGATAATAAAGGTGAAAAAACTTTGGTCAGCGCGACTGTTCTGGCTTGGAAGTTTTAAGGAGCATCAAGTAAAACAGCAATTAAATGAAAATATATTATTGTGATGAAAAAGTTGAGCTCGAAAACTGACAGAACCGCTGATATTGGCTCGGAATTTGAAGCAACTCAGAGGCTTTGCCGATATTATAAGTCTCTGTACAGGAAACAACGCTTTCTATTACTTCCACTTACAAAATAATGATGAACAATTTTTCAGCCCAAACTCATACTTGATATAGCTCTTTGCAACTCACAAGTAGCGACGAGCATACTTAATAAAGTAAGTTAGGAATTACCTGAACTCATCCTTCATGACAAACTTCTGCCCTTGGGCATCCCAGGCGCACACCACAGGCTTCTCCCCCGACACGTAGGACAGGCCGAACTCTTCAACCTCGTGCGCGAAGTCGTTGTTGTTTGCAACCGCGAAGGTGAAGTCGGACTTGTAATTTTGAGCGACCTAATTAAAGTTAGATAAACATGCAATTAGAATGACAATTTCACACGGGAGAAGAAAATAATTTCGAGCCGCATGTATGAAATCACAACAACAGCAGTTATTTCGACAATTTCATATTCGGGAAGATTGGAAGAACATAAATATCAGTGGAGATGAGAGAATTTGAAAACAGAATTTGAGAAATATAAGCTTGTAGAACTAATCACCAAGTAAGAATAAGCAAGATTTAATGTCAAGAATCCAACTAACATACACAATTGAATGAAACGAGAGGCACTACCTCCTAATTTGATAAGAGGTAGTGCCTCTTGTAAACCATAGTGCCTCAGAACAGTAATCATCCCATGAATGCAATGCAATTACGGTGTCAACCGACCCTTCATATGAAGGTTTCTTTAGACAAAATATCCATTATTATAAATAAAAACTCATTCTTCATTGGCAATATAACATTTGGCTCAACATCTGCTAACGCTCAAATGTCTACCTTTTGTTCTGGTTTCTGATGCCTCAACAAGAAGGCATGCCAGTGACACACAAACCTTGAGAACTCTGTTGCGCCAGTAGTTGGTGCCCTTGGGGTTCTTGACGTAGTCGACATTGAAGTAAGCGATCACCAGCGGTGCGATGAAGTCCCCTGATGTATCAGTTGTGCGCAGACCGACCAGGCCATGGCTGTCAAAATTCATTGATCAGAAGAACAAACTCAAACGTGGAATTTGAGCCACGCCATGGACACAGATTGGAGTCCATTAGAATTTGAAATGAAATATCTGCATGACTGTAAATATGTGTCCAGTCAAAAAATTAATATGCATCACATCATCGCCGTTCATTTGAGTTATCATACGGATCAAAGAAATCTCTAAAAGGTGTTAGATTGAGGCAGGGGCTGTACGATTAAAATGAAATAACTCAACTTCAACTGATTGGCTATCAAATGCAGAACATGATACTCGTATTACTCAATAATACATTGGTAACCACAACAATGCATAAAGACTCAACGCATTTGACGGTTTCAGCCAGTTAAGTAACATACCTATATCACTATTGTACACTTACTAATTTTCGTTGATGAACTTCTTAATCTCAGTTTTATCCTCAGAGCCTTCATATTTGACGAAGTCAGGCTCAAATTTGTTGCTCATAACCTTAGGCCTGAAGAGTATGATGGCATCCTTGGCGTCATATTTCTTGAGGGTCTCTTCATCTGACACGTGAGCAAACCTAATTTTCTCGCGCATCATGTCAGCGGCCTTCAGGAAAACAGCTATAAAAAAAAACAGGAACAAAGTAGAAAGCATTAACAAATGAAGTGAAACTGAGGTAAAGCCTTCACCGTGTGAAGTTCATAAAACAAATGTTTATGTGGCAAACAATTCGATTACAGCCAAACAAAAAAAAAAATCAATTTCAAATGAAAAGTTTTGGGACAGCTTTAGCAAAAAGCATTCTCACCAGAATTAATAGTTAGTTTCCATAAATGAAGTGTAATATTTTATTTTTCAATTTAATATGACACCCAACTCACCTTTAAGAGAGCCTTCACCAAAGTAAACAACGCCAACTTCATTCTTGGCCAAGAAAGTTTCAGTGTCGGCCAAGTTCTTCAATTCCTTTGATGCAGGCCCAACTTGAGACTTCATGAACTTGACAATTCCATCTGAAACAAATGCAGGCATGAGCATATCAATGCATGGAACGCTGTCTGGACCTGCTACAGATTGCTGCACTCAATAACAGCAGATTTATCACCATTATCATAAGAATGAGAGTAGTAAGTGTATATAGGGAGGAAAGATTGTAAAAATAACTTGTAATTATTCAGCCTATAATTATTGCATTAACAAAACCAATAGATCATTTTCTAGAGCAGTTTGATCAAATGGCATCAGATTTAGGACTGAATGAAAAAAAATAACCATACTCGACACTCACTGTATTCTCTGGGGCCATTGTAGTCAGAAGAGAGTTCACCTCCCTTGAAGATCTTCACAGTGGGGTAGCCTGTCACACCAAACCTGCTGCAGGTGTCTTTGCCAGCCTCAGTACAATCCACCTGCAGAAGTACAATCCTCAGTATAATCCACCTTTAACTTCTTCATTGTTCTTCTAATCTTCTAATACATGGAAAATCTAGAAGATTTCTTTGGTTGTTCAAAGTAGTGCTATACAAGAATAAAATTTGAAGAAAGTGAAAGTTCCAATAAATTATCCTGACCACGATGTGGCCTGGTTTCATTGAAAATATTGTTAGTCATCAAAATTTTTAAATGCTAAAGCAACAAAGAAATAAGATCACTTAACACTTATCACTTACTGACATTAAAGGCATACCTATACAGTATATGGAGTCTTTCTCTTTGCTGCTTTATGGGAGAGGTAGAAATCTACTCTAGGCCAGGGCCTAGGCATCAATTAACTTTACTATTTGAATTTAATAAGAGACAAATACTGTACTGTAATCATAATGCAAATTTTGTGATATGGAAATAGTTTGGTATTTCAATGCACGTAGGCTAATTTCACGATGCAACTGTTAAAGTTAATTTACTCTGCCAAATTCCCTATAAGAATCAAGTCAGTTACTGATTACTGACAAATTGACAATTAAGCCATACAGTCTTCATGTACGTACTATGACTGTAGAGTAGCAGTAGATGCTGTAGAGCACATGAGTGACATGACAAGACTGACATACCGGTATTTGCAATTAGTATTTAGTAATAACAACAAAAGTTCACCAATATCAACAATGGGGCATATTGTGAAAATCACCTGAACAAGGATCACAGGAGGGTCGTTGTCTTTGAGGTCTGAAGATGCTCGGGCGAATTCAGGCTTCAGTCTTTTGCAGTGGCCACACCTGTACATAAATAGAATTATAGAAGGCATTGAGAAAAAAAGTACTATGGTTTAATAACTTTATAAATAGAATATTTTTAAAATGTTGATGAACAATCCAAAGAAAGTTAAACGATTATTTCCAACATAAATTAAACGATTTCAAGTCTACGAATAGAATGCATCTAGGTATATCCTACCTAACTTAGGCTAACTAAAATAGCATCGTACAGCGTACTTACCAAGGAGCATAAAACATTACAAGAGCGGTATCAATTGTGGCAAGTTTGCTGTCAAAATCAGCATCTGTCAATTCGAGCACATCAGATGACTCAGCAGCTACAAATGCCAACAAAGATGCAACGATGATTAGTTTTAATTCCATCGTGAATGTGCCGTAAACGTTGAATTCCACAGCTCAATGTTTACACCGGTGTGACCTCTCTTACACTGTCATCACATTATCGTGCTTCCGTTCGGATCCTGAAATCGAACGTTCTAAAAAAATCTAGTGATGAAATAAACTTCTTATTTGCAGGTAAAAAATGTTTTCAATAACTTGAAGCGTTCTTTTAGAAACGTAAAACGTCTGAAGCAGCAGGATTGAGAGTAATTTTCGGATAATTTTAATCAAACATAAAAAAGTTTTGAGTTGATCAACGCATTCGGACGCAGACTTTGGTGGCCTCAAACGATTGGACCGAGTGGAAAACTCCAGCCAATCAAAACCTTCCACTCTAGAATTTTCAACGCGGGCAAATCAAATAATTTTTAAATTAAATGCATCTGTAGTTTGACAGATGACGTTTGAATAGAATAGTCTGTGGTTATGAAATGACATTATTTTTACAAGTTTATATTTTAGCCCCAAATAAATTTTCCACAAGTTTCATGTTTTAGAACCAAATAAATTTTCATTTTCAATAGCGCAGTAGGTCATTGAATAAAGTTCTTTAGACTTTGGGTAATATGACAGTGAACATTTTCTTCGGTTGATGGGATGCATATATTTCACATAAATTTTATGTATTGAATTGTTGACTGGAAAACATGATCTTTTCATGGTCTATCGGTCCGACTAGCCTCAATTAAAAACTTGAATATTATGTCGAATTTACTGAATATTATATTACACAGAGTTATTACACGGTGGCCCAGTGGTTACAGTTCAGAGTACCAGGATTGGAGCAGAGAGGTGCGGGTTTGATCATAGCTCTGTGCGCCAGTTTCTGGTCAGAATCGGCAAGGAGGCCGGGCGGTTAAGAAAAACAAAATTGAAGCTGTGAGTTGCGCGTTCGAGACCGCTACAAGCTGTAAATATTCTGCGATGTCAAGAATCGGCGACAGCCCTATGGCCTAATAAACGCTGAAATCGCTATTAATTATTATACTATTTATGGGAGCAGACACCACCGCAGGCTTGGCAACTTGCAAAACATTTCGAGTCGTTGACACAACTATGACTTCACTATGAGGGCGTCAACAATCTACAAGTAGGGTTGCGAAAACTTTACAACATTTTTCAAAATAAAAATACGGTTGCATCGAGAGCGACTCAGCCGTGAGATAGCAGGTTCCAGTACGTAGCACCGAGAAACAATAAGTAGTGCCGTTATTAACTCTAGGACACAGTCGACCGTAAGTTATCTTTAACGTAGACTATCTGACGAAAGTCTACGTTTTTCACATATCAGCTCCGAGACCAACTCCTTCAAAGGAGGTCGAATGCCTGGCCAGAGCCAAGGTTTAACCACTCACAAGTGTTGTGGGCATGCAGAAGCAAGTTTGCAGTGCCCAAGCCATGCTCCCATAACCCTCCATGGCTGGCAGTATGCGTCCAAGTCAAAACGTGCGCCCGACTTTCTGAAGAAAAGTCTACGTTTTAAAAGCGGTGAGATGAAAGTTGCGACGTAAACAGAACAACTACGTCAGTCGACTTGCGACTACACAAGATCTAATTTAACTTAACTAATTTTCATCGGCATAGACAGGAAAAGACGTGTGACCTAGTTCTCATTTTATTTTGTTGCTTGATTTATATCCTGCCCCGATTCTTCCTGATTTATTCAATGAGAAGTTAATTACTTTTGGTGGTAATTCCTTAGCCGTGATTTATAATTACAATATAACTCCAACGCCACTTATACTCATATGACGAACGGGCTTATTACCCCGAGTTACGTGCCAAGGTTGTTCGATACTACGCGCTTTCGATCCAACCGTGCTAACGCAGGAAGAATCGAGAAGTAGCATAGCATAACGATGTCGGCGCTGAAGAGTAGGCCTGATGTGGCCTGTCGCCGATTCTTGTACTTTTCGTGACTTGTTCATAGAAGATCCAAATGCATGTCTTTTTACCGGATTTTTTCAAGACTGACGATAGAGGTGCACTCAAGGAAATTAATTGGCTAAATTGTCTAAATAGTGACACTTTCTGAACGTAGCACTTATACACCATTTTGCCGGTCCAAAATAGTTCAGGATGACACACACACACTGGCAGAACAGTGCATCGCTATTCAGATAAAGTAACACTAATTTCTCTGAGAGTGCAGCTCGGCTGTGCAGGGAAGGGAAAAGCTGGATACTAACTAGGCGACACAAGTTAAATGCGATTAATGATCAAGGAAAATTTTATGTAGGCATTTGTGACTGTCATATTCAAATTATTGCTTTTGTTGTAGCAGTCCTAGAATTTCATAGGTAATATGGGGATTTTATTCCAGCGGCTATTGTGTGTCTCGGAGCGAGCGATGATATATAGATGCCTTAGCCAAATTTTTCATTGTAAGGCCGTAATGGATCATGCTCGTAGTCTGTCTACCAAATAGTTATTTATAATGAACCGGGTTTCCGGCTCAAAAATTTGACTATATTGTAAGTTAAGAGAAATGATATAGAATAGAAGTGTCGGCGTTGAAGAAATAGGCCCACGGCCTGTTGCCGATTCTCGAACTTTTCGTGACTTGATTCTCAAGGGATCCGACCTTTGGAACCCGATCTTTCCATAGCTGACGATTGTTTGGGATAGCTGCTGGACTATATGCGTTTAAAAATAACTTTTTACAGACAACACTTCTAAAGAATCCAGTATCTCCGAGGTTACACATATAAAACGAATTTTTAATTTTATTATCAAATATTACAAAAAAAATCATTTTTAAATTTTATTTTTAGAATTAAAAAAATTAAAATTTTCAAAATTATTTATTCTGTTAATTGACTCATGCATTGACTCCGACTTTGCAAAAGTGTGGAAATTTTAAGATCGATTGGACAGGTACATGTAGAAGTGTGTTGAATATCAATTAAATGATTTGTACGTAGAAGACAAAATTATTTTTTCAATTTTTTTAGATTAAAAAAATTTTTTACGTTTTAAAATTAAGCATTCTGTCAAATGATTCAAGCATTGTCTCCAACTAAGCAAGTGTGCAAAATTTCAGATCGATTGAAGAGGTAGAAGTGTGTTAATGTCGATTATAAGATTTGTAGCAGACAGATAAATAAACAAGAAGTGAAGTTAAAGAGAAGTGTTGTAATAAAAAGTCAATATAATCAGAATTTAGTAATTTTCTGTGACGAGTCGGATCACCTGAAGAAATAATCAGTTCTCTACTGAACAATAAGAAAATATTTTGTGAATAGTAGTAACCGGAATTTTACTTAATGGTTAATAGTTATATGAATCTCGTATACTGTCATGATCCTTGAGAGTCGAGAAGCACAGTGCTGAAAACAAAACCACGACATATTCCGATATACCCTACCAGGCCCGATTTGGAATAATGGATAGGAAGCAAGAAACTGCAACTGGCAGTCGTTACGAGGGGACGGCGCTCAAAGGAAGACCGCCTCACCAGGTCCTGACGCGAAGTCGTTGTCCATACGACGTGCACTACTCCTTGGAGACGGCGGAAGAGCTTAACATTTGGCATTAACTCGGCCTAGAGAAACCAGAATTCCTCCCAATTGAATTTCAACCGACAAAATCTTCCATAAGCGAGACACGGATGGGACCAGTAGATGTCAAACCTCAAGAAGACCAAGTTTTTTTCCTTTCAATGTTCCAAAAAAGAAATGAGAGGTTCTATTGAACCTGACCCGAAGAAGAAAAGGAAGTTTCCTTCTTTTCGCAGACATGCTAAAAAGCGTCATTCAAAATTGACCACGAAGATTCTTGATCTCAAGATGGTCAAGACGACAAGGCAGGTAGGAAGCCGGTACATCCTAGTAACGTGCCCGTAGCCTGGAGACGCACGGCAACTGTAATAACAGACTAATCATGGTATGGTTGGTTATCCAGGAGCAGAGGCAGAGGTTAACGAGATGTAATGGAATTTTTTTGTGGAGTATTGTGCACCCAATGGCATCTGCGGACTCACGGTTATAGCCAAATTTAAAACGTTCAATTTTCTGTTTATACGGTGCCCACTAGAAGGCGAGGGGTGTAGTCAAGCTGTGTGGAGACGGGAAAAGCCGTCATCAGACTAGGCATGGATAAGCTTGAGGTTATAAATGGTCTAGGAAAAATTTAGGAAAGGCACGAGTCCGACTCAACTTTTGCAAATGCTGCAGCCAGCCTGGGATTGAACTCGTCCCATAAACACGTTCATTAGGCTGCTACTGTGTATCTCGAGCAAGCGATGGTCTCGGATGCACTCACAATAGAAATTTTATAGTCCTCGACTAAAAATTGTTTGCAGCAACATCACTTCCATAAAACATGTGCTGTGTCTAGGTAAATAAACAGCTAAAAAAATTTCAATTAATCGTTTAGTGCCTGAATTGAAGAATATCTTGTTATGCATTCAACCCAAAATACGTAAGTTCCTCTCATCACATGACGATGAGAAATCTTAACACACACAAAACTTAAGACCCAAGAAAAAAAATTATCCCTACAATAGGTTGATATTCAGATTTAAATAACAAGTGAAAACTCTCAATTTAGCAGACCAGATTGAAAAATATCAAGAAAGAACAAGGATCAAAGAAAGACACAAAAAGTGCAAACTACACTAAAAGAAGAGCAAATAACAGACGAGATAAAGAATACCTTAAGTCGGTTAAGTGACTCAATATTTTAGATCCCAAGCGATGTAACTTTTGTATAAAATTTAAAATATATAGTATTAAGATTAACATAGCACGAAACGATTAATATTCTAATTATAATGTTTGTATGATTACAATTTCACACAATAATACTTGGCAAGTAGTGTAACTCTGTAAGAAAATAGGATCCAGAATTATTAACAACGCCAACACTGAACAATGTACAATACTACATATAAGCTTTTATATAACATACTCGTTCACCTGAGCATTTGAATACAAAATTCTAATAATAATAGAAGTTGGATATCAAGAATGTTTAATATAATATAGTTATTTTAAACAATCTATCAGTTTTGGATTGGTACATTTGAGTGAACAGCATTAGGTCATTATAAACACTCAACATCAAACATTTCATGTGAACATTACCTATCACATTACGCAATAAAAAGCATTTCCATTCAACATTTCCAAACTGAAACATTTGATTGGCAAAATATTATGAGCTCCAGAACTACCAAAATGCATTTCTTTTAAACTGTTTGAGAAAATAATAAAAAAATTACTAAATAGAAAAAAAAACTTAAATGAACTTATAATGTAAGCATCAGAAATACAAATAGAATTAAGGTGATTTTGATGATCGTTAAATATTCATTGATCAACTCAACGAATTTATTCTACAAAAATGTTTTGAATTAAGAAGAAACAATAATTAGATAGTGGCAATAAAAACAGCAGCAACAGCACACGGATGGCAGCAGCCTACTAATTTGTATTGTCCGAGGTAGAGCTTTGTAAATATATTGCCCCAGCTATAGTATAACAACATTCAAATGTATTCATCACGTTACATAAGTCACAAATTCTCATCACGATATTAACCTTATTGCATCACATAAAAAAATCTGAATACAGAACATATTTTAGTTTGAAGACAAAAATATCTTCAGAGAAGTAGACCTCCACAGATGCACACACATTTTCACTGACTACGGACAAAAATGTGTTTTCATGTAGGAAATGAGCGGGGAAAAAGAAGCAATAAAGAGCTATTAGACTTCAAATTAAAGTCCATGTTACCTTTAAAGCCAAGACTACACAGAGAGAGTGAAATAAAATCTACTATACGCTGGAGCCAGAGAAAGCATGGTAAGAAATAAGGACGATGATGACTACAGCAGCGGCGACGTAGCACATGACACGCTTGTTCTGCCTCCCCGCCGTTAGCACTCCGTGCAGTCTGTTGCTGCTCAGACCTGCAATATCGTAAATTGATAAGGCATGCGTGCTAATGGCAAATCATACTAATGGCAAACGCTATCAATTAATTTGCTAGCTTAAAATTCAACTTTTAAAGAAGATTTAACAAAACTGCAGGCAGGATTGAGTTTCCAGTCGCAGCAAAGCAGAGTCTCCCGATGTCTAATGTTGACTATTGTCTTATTCGAGGTGGTAAGTTTATTCAATTAGCATTTCTATCAGCAGGGATATAATGTTAACAAAAAGGAAAAAAATATTTTGAGGAGTATAAAACCTAGAAATTTTGAACTCACCAAGCAATGAGCTGCCAGAAGAAAAATCTCCATCCATATTATCAAGCATCCTATTGTGCTCATGCGCTTCTAGCTCAAGATCTACTGCCACCTGCAACAAAGTGAAATGTATTAAACATCATAGAATACATAAATAGGCTTAAATTACTTTGATAGGCATGAAATTGCCAGTTTCTCTACAAATCTTAACGTCTGCGCATTTTAGTGATTGAATAGATGATGTCATTCATGATTAAACTAAGCAAAATACACGCAGGTATCACGAGTTTTCAAATGTCATGTGAAAGGATTCTATCCTTATTTAGACTGGGTTAGATTATCTATACACTGCAGAGTAGATATCTGACAGTTCGTCAATGGCTAATCGTGAAGCCACAAAAAAATAACAAATTCCCTCAACTACCTAGAGTCTCAAAACATTATCTTGACAAGTCTGCTCTAACAAACCTATGAGCCCTTCAAGAGCAATGATGAAATGCAAATCTTGCGTATCCTTGTAGAGCAGACTTTAAAAAAGTCTCGAAGTTGATCATAATAAAAATTCTAAACAATGGCTAATAACATAAACATTGGCGCCACTGTGCTGCAGATCAAGAGAAGCATCATTATATATAAGATCCAATCTTGACTCCTAGGGAAAAAATAAGTACATAATAGGAAGGAAGTACATTATGAAGAGTGATAAAAAGTTTACTGCTGATGACTTATCAATTAAAGTTTTTATCTTAGTTCAAAAATTAACTATCAAAGTTTTAATGCTCTCTTCATAGTAATCACTGAGTTATCAATATTATTGGGAGCTTTTACCGATTCATCAGAAGGTTCCTGTATTTCTGAGGAGCATACATTTTTCAGGAAACTATAAGCCTCATTCTATATGGTAATGATGTATTGCAAAATATTCCATTCATTTTTTGTAGAAAATGAGTACATTATAAGTTTTAATTTTACTAAGATTCATGGTTTAGAGATTTGAAGGCATCATTCTCTGTACAAAGACCATAAAATAAATTCTTAGCTTAACTTACTGATCGTAATTGAGAAACTTTATTGGCTAAATTATAAGCCCGATTCTGGTTTCTCTTGTCCAGCTCCTGTTCTTCAACACCTGTAAATATATTATCATTAGTTAGTTATTCAAAACGTTAAGTGGGAAAAACAAATCAGAGGATCAGCACAAGTTAAAAACGTGATTGAACACATTGGCAATTTGATGATTGAGAACATTTCACTATTGAAACAGAGATGTGGATCAACAGGATATTTGTGCTAGCATTCTATTGATTATCAACGATACAAATCAAACAAGGAAATAAAAATTTGATGTAGTACTTGACATTACTGCCAAAGCTTATCCTCTTGTATCACTAAGAATTAAACAAAAATCTTATTTAGCAAACTTTCAGATGTCTGAATCTGTGTAGCATAAATAATCTTTTGCTCTAATGAATCTGAACCAAGACTGTTCAATCAACTAAATGAAACATTTTTGAATAATCTATATAAAACGGAAAAATGTAAAGAAGATGTGCACAAACTCAATCATTGCCATGACAATTATTTGTACCTGCATCATAAAAATTCTAGGACATCTAATAACAATTATGTTAACATGCTTATGCAAGTTATAATTTCTCACCTCCCCAGGTATCCATTGCATATAAGAGTTTTAATAACTCCTAAAATTAGGCTGGCAGCATCTGCTGTGGATGAGCATAAGTCAATTGAGACCAGGGTTAGAAGTGCTTGCTGAGGACCCTTTCATTGACACAATAGATGAAGCATCTGAAATTGATTAAAATTAGATAAAAATGTTCTAAATAGTATTAATGTAATTTCTGTGAAGATCAGCAAATATCTCTTATTTGAAATTTTCTGAATGTATTTTACTTGCTTGAATATCACACTTCTGTTTGGGTTTGAAAGTTTCAATATAATGCTGTTAAGGGACCCATTTTATATATTGGTTGTGGTAGGACAGTTCATAATGCTTAAAAGGGATACGGTATTTCGTTTATTAGTAGGACAGTTAGCTATCAATATAGGTAGATGAAAGATACTAATTGATTCAACATTGATTCCTTTAGCTTATCTACATAGACCAAAAATTTAATTCAAAATTGTCATTGGAGCAGTAATTCTACAGACCATACAGACTTGATTTTAAGATAGAGATGAAAGAAGGAAAATTCAAATTGATGCCTGTATAACAATCCTAAAACTATAAGCAATATATATTTTACTAAATATTATATATTTCATAAGTAAAATAATTATTTATAACTACAACATTGGGAAAATCAAGCCCACTAACCTAGATTGAGACAAAGCTGGGATAATGAATATATGTCTGCCTTCTGTGTGGCTTCTGAGTCAGTACTGTCAAAGCTACTAAAGTTGTCACAGTCCTAGAGTTTCCAGATTTAAATAGAAATGATCTATTAATAATATATAAACTATATTAATTTAAATGAACTACAACTTTCAAGCAAGATGGAAACAGCTACACACTTATTTGTTATTACATCATTATCATATGTAGTGGCTATAGTGGCAAACCAGAGATTATTTTAGAATCAGTTAATTTTAAATTTCCTCATTTACTCAAGATTTAAACCAATATCTTGTCAATCTCATGTATGATCATGCTGGTATCTAGTTACTTCGCTGGTGTGCTTATAGGATTCAAAATTGAACTTGAGGAAGAGTCTAAAAAACTCTGTTTTGCCACTAATTGCACAATGATATGTACAAAATAGTAATCCAACATTCTGACACTACAAAACATAGTTCTGCCAGTATATTACATGGATTTTAGTTGCAAGTGGTGACTGGTAAGTTAAGTCACCAAATAATAAGAGCAGCATTTGCAGAGTCAGATACCGTCAAACGGGGTAATGCGAGACGGTTTTGAGCATTGTTTGTTAATAACTTCTTACCATGAAACATTTCATAAACAAAATTGAACTCATTTTAAAGCTCTTTGCAAGGGCTATTGTATGGCATTGCTGAAAAATTCCATATGCTATTTGTAAGGTGCCAGATCCTAAATAAAAGCATCCCAAATTACCCCTGGGAAGGGGTAATCTGAGACACTTGAAACAAAACTCAATTTTAAAATATTTTAAACATGCAGGGATGTACTCATTCATTACTAACAGTACTCTGATGTGTTCCTCTTCCTTTGTAGATGATGTAGATGTAGAATAAATGACATTTTCTGTGATTTTTACTTGTTTTTACTTTATTGATATGATATTATCATATCCATACATTACTGTATTATTGATGTGATATTACCATATCCATAGACATGCCATTGAGCATTAACAACGACCTTGTCCACACTCCACTGCAAGCTTCATATCAGCAGCCATATGACATTTCTTCTGTACCTGTAAGCTTATAGCCAAAGGAAAGCTTGTAATTTCACAACATTTTAATTGGGTCAAGTGAATTCACTAAAACAAAAAGAGATATTAAAAAACATACCTGACAGTGCAGTCAGTGCTGAAACCTAAAGGAATATTTTAGTGAGAAGTGAGAACCATCTGGCATCATATTGTTTGAAAAAATAAATCATAGGTTGGGTTAACTAATTTTCATTCTAAGTTGCCTGGTGTACAATTCTATCTATAACATTCTATGCACAATTTTGTAATGACCAATGATGCATTAATTTTTCATTAAGTGAATTTTTTTTGCTGCATGAGTTAAATGTTATCAAAATTTTTGGTTATTAATTGATTTTTTTGTTAACTGGAGCCTCTGCTAATGGAGGTTCTACTGTAAATATGTTTAGGTACCGCCGTACCGCCTCCTGGGTATGGGATACTATCATCATAGGGTAAACGCAGTATATTCTGTCACATTAAGGACGCATTGAGAAATGAAAAACTATAAAAAATAACTGTATGCGTTACTCAAGTTCTGTTTGCTTTAGGTGACTCTCAAAACACCGTAGTACGCGTTGGCAACAATGAAACGTCACAAAATGTTGCCATATTTATGTGAAAGCCTTTAGAATGCAAACCTTCCAAATCCCTATATTCCGTCACTGTGTGTGGCAATATTTGGCACGTGGTGAGGCGTATTCTGACGCGCTTCAAATTCTACTGATACGTAATGCCGTCATCCACGTGTTCGAATTCCGTTTGCTGTGTGAGCTGTATTGGAATACAACACGGCTTTGAATTAGAACACTAATGAATATTGAACACTACTTAATTACCGTACGCTTTTAATTAACAACTATTAAGCTTTTAATTAAGCAAATTTTAATTTTTGTACACAGCTTGGAACGATCTGTGTGTGTCCAATTCAAGTTGTGACGGAATTAGTTTTCATGTGTCTAAATCCATTTCTTAACTTAATCATCTATTAATTTATTTACCACTTGAAATCAGTGAATACAAGTATACTTAAAGGATTCCTAATATATTCAATGATGTATTTAAAAGTCTCAAACCATAATATTCTTCCTATACAAACAGTTATTCACTAGGGTAAACGCGGTATATTCCGACATCGTAGGTAATTCCGTCACTTCTCAAGTTTTTCATTTATATTGAGCTCAAATTGACAGTTTATATTAATAGGTACTATACAACTGAATTAGTTTGTCCACTTTTGATCCTCCTTTTCATTTATAGTCAGTCACCTGGCAGAGCACAGTATCTAAGGAAAGCATTCCACCTTGGGTGGAAAGCTTTTTTATAAGTGAACCTCCATTTCTAGAATTCCACCCTGCATCAACGAACGCATGGAACTGAAAAAAAGCTTAATATAAAGGAAAAACTAAAGAGGTGACGGAATTACCCACGATGTCGGAATATACCGCGTTTACCCTACATTATACATAGATAGTAAAAATGTTGAACTTTACGCAACTATTTTTAGTTTTGCAATATTTTGATTAGTTTAGCTGGAGCTGCTACAACATTTCTATGAAATGTGAGACGACTATCCCTTATTACCAGCTACCCGGCCCGTCCCTTATTACCCCGTTTGACGGTACTCAATCAGTCAATCTCAAAGTGACGAGTCATGTCACTCATGTGTGATGACTCGCCAGCGGCCAGACACTGTTACTGTAACGATTAAGAAGCTGTAGAATGTAGTGGCTTTGTTTTAATACATCGACCACTTAAGCTGTAATGTTACATTAACAGTTTAACTTACAGCATGCGTAACCAACACCAGTTATTATTATAAGACAACTTTCGCAGGCGCACTTCCTAAGACTGATAAAATTATGAGGTTGCCAGTTGCCACGACAACAATAATTTTGGACGAAGCTGATGTGCTTGCCTCGTCCGGCAGATCGGAATAATTGTTAAATCAGTTTGGGAAAAATGACCTAGCATTTACGAATTTCTAAAAATAAAATTATCATTATCTCGATACAAATATTTCAAAATGAGAATGAATAATATGCAATTGCATCTTTTTCAACATGCTGGAAGGAATATCATCTGGAAATATTTGTTTTGCCCAAAAATTTCATGGCTCACATCCATTATGTTCGATGGCCCCTGTACACAAACTTCTTTCAGTTCGATACGTAATGTCTGAAAAAATTGTACTCGCATCTTATAAATGCAATAAGTAATTTTTATAATACGTGTTTAATCACTAATTTCCATCCGATATATGCATGTCACGCAATTAGGCTCAGTTTATAGCCCTGTATATTCAGATTTTGGTTATATGATGTATCATAAGTCACAGCCAATAGCAGTGCGGCAATAAGAGGTCACTGCGCAGGTCATTCTTTATGGCCAATCAGCCTTCATAGCGCTATAAGCCAATCACTGCGCAGCATTCACCGACAGGCTGAAGCGTATTAAATATTCGCGTTATTAGACAAACGTCATGTGTTTTATGTGGGAACGCAACTGTATACAAATAATATTCACAACTTATTGAAAAGACAGCTCAATATGCTATTACCTTCATGAGATGAGAGGAGCTTAAAGTTCTTTTTGTGGTCTCATTGAATTTTATACATTTGCTGAAACCTTCAAGGTTTGCTTACTGTGAAAGGATTTACCTGCAAGCCTTCTTATGAGCGATTGCTACTTTTATATCGTAATTTATGCATTTGCGGTGTAGTGCGAGGCAAACCTCAATTCAACAAACCATTAAGCAAACCTTAGAGGTTTTCTCAAGGTACAGATATAGTAAAAGGATTCATTTGCAAATGATATCTTTAACAATAGTTACTTCTATACTATCATTCAGTAATTTGCACTACTAGTGGACATCTTGCACCCTTCCACCCATGGCTTTTATCCAGGTTCAATCCACTCATCGCAAAGTCTAATAATTGATCCGATGATGGGGCGTGATAGAATATTTCAATAGAAACACTCGACTGTAGCACGAGCACACCAAGAAATAAACTCTTATTGAATTTGCATCTACCCAATTTTAAGATTGTTAATCAAGGAAATTATTTGGCAGTCTACCTGCCAGAATTGACTGATTCAAGTAAGCATGGGAACATATTCTCAAATCGACAAGCTGGCACGCAAATCATGCACCAAGGTCAAAGTTTTCGTCTATAATTCTGTGCGACCGATCCATATGGTAATTGTCTGATTTCTCTGCAACACGAAGGCTATATCATTGGTAATGTGCGGTATGGTGGCCGAGCATGCATCCGGGGCACGATCAGCCCTGAGCGAAGCACGATTTACACGCGTCATTTTATGTGTGTGCGGAGATGTTGAGTGCAATTTGCATAGCGCCTTGCGATGTCTGCGCTCATTTCCAGTCCAGGGTCTTCGATGTTAAATAAAACGGCAAATAAGAGGTAAATGCGTGCGTATGCCAGGTACTGCACGGCGTTGCCACGAACAGTCGTGAGCTGAATTGCTATCAGCAGTTTGAAGGGTTATGTATGTATATAAAACTCGTAACATTCTTCTCGATATTCTGGTGTGATGAAACAGCTGATAGAAGAACTAGTTCCTGAGATCAATTATCGAGATGAATTTTTAAAACAATTTTATTTGTTCGGAATAACTCTAGAGTTTTTCTTTTCAAACGTTGCAGTCGTGACATAGACAACAGGGATAACGAGAAAAATCATATTCTATTTATTATTATGCCTAAAATAATACTGATAAAAATACTTAGGTGGCGGCGAATAAATTTTGCAGATCGAAGGAACAATTCTCCTAGCATTAAAAATGAATTACAAGTCAATTAGAGATGAATTTAGAAGTTGATTGTTTCATTTTCGTAAATCTGAACAAATTAGCTGCTTTAATAAACTACCGTTGATTATATGAATCCTTATTTATTGTGACGAACTAATCTTGAATAATAGCTAATTAATCGCGTCACCTCAAAAGTTCGGATGGTCTAATTGTCACGTCCACCAATGACCGGAAATTAAATGCAACTTCCCTATTGGTTTTATCAGCAAGAGCTTGGACGGAGCGGATAGTTACTCGAACAAACTTTCTTATTTATTAATTATATACGACAAATAAATATAAACCAATAACACTAATGATTTACAGAGGTGCGGCATATGAAACGAACTAACAAGTTAAATGCGGAGGAAGTTAAAGCGCGATGAGCAAAATGCGAGGAGAGAGCTGGAGCATTGAGATCTGAGAAGACGCACGATCCTACAACAGAAAACAAAGTAAATATCTACGCATGACAAGTCGTTATATACACAAAAATCACGATATTCCATCAAGTATTCCAAGCTAAATTTCACCACCAAAGCAGCAACTCACCCTGGCGTCTGAGTCAAAATCCTATAAGAGAGGAACCAGGACGCAAGTCGGGATCGGCATAGTATCTGACGGCTATAATGAACTTAACACCGACGTCAGAGACAGTCCTACTTAAACTTCGTAGTCTGACATACAGTAGTGGGAAATTTGCAGCAACACTTCATTACATTTATAATGACGGATTCCATCATTTTACGCGTTGCTCATGAAAATGTGTAAGCTTAACCTGTTATGTGCGAGTAAGTAACCTCGTAAGTAAACTTGTAAGCAACCTAGTGAGTAAACTCGTAAGCAAACATGTAGGTAACCTCGTATAGTAACCTTGTAGGTAACCTGTTAAGTAAATTCGTAAGCAAACTTGTAGGTAACCTCGTATAAGTAACCTTGTAGGTAACCTCGTAAGTAAACTTGTAGGTAACCTACATAAGAAACCTCGTAATAGTAGCCTCATAAGTAACCTCGTAAGTAAACTCATAGGTGAAAGTGTAGGTAAGCTCGTAAGTAACTAACGTAAGTAAACTCGTAAGTAAAAGTGTAGGTAACTTCGTAAGTAACTAACGTAAGTAAACTCGTAAGTAAAAGTGTAGTTAACCTCGTTAGTAACTAACGTAAGTAAACTCGTAAGTAAAAGTGTAGTTAACCTCGTAAGTAACTAACGTAAGTAAACTCGTAAGTAAACGTGTAGGTAACTTCGTAATAAATGAAGTAAGTAAGTAAACTAGTAAGTAACCTCGTAAGTAAAATTGAAAGTAATCTCATAAGTAAACTTGAAAGTAAACGCCATCGCAGAAGTGTTGGCCTATATACAGACGCCAGCAAAAGTCTGTCAGCGAACAGCGGTGTCCCCCAAACTGTGGTTGGTAAGTCCGCAGAGTATGATGAGAAGTCCACGCAATGCTATCAATTAAGGCAATGGTGACGCTATCGGTAAAAACTATTATCGTTAGTAGGCATCATTATTTAACATAATATATCCTGCCCCTGCATTGATGTTATTGGAAATTAATTTAGGAGGAGACTGGTTTTGATATCACACTACAGGAAGCGAAAAGTTCTACGCCGTATTTAATATATTCATTTATTTATTAATTCATTTATTATACCCGGATCTCATATAACGCAACAGTTCTCACAACACGATAGTTCTCACAACACGATAGTTCTCACAACACGATAGTTCTCACAACACGATAGTAGCAATTATTGCTGAGGAGAGAGTTTATAAATTTGAAGCATTTGTCCAGGACGATCCACTGTGTTAGAGCGATCCCAGAAATTTTCTACCGATAGTGGGGAAGTATACTGGAAATTTCTTTAGTCTTAAATACGACTTGAACGTGGCATAATTGTCGTATTATATAAAGTATACGTGGTTAAGTTTATGCATAGTTAAAACTCACGATATTGTTTCATTCAGATTGAACATTCATTTTTACCATATAAGATTCCAAATTGAAATTTATTATCTTAATGCAAAAATCACGTGATCATGTCTAATCGCATATTTGAAATTAACGTGTATAATGAATCAATGATCATATAATTAATAATAATTTTTACCAACTCAATAAACTCGTGATAAAATTACCATGCTGTCAGAAGTTTGTCAATAAATAGCAGCAGTTTAGTTTCATTCTCGAATAGATTATAAATTCAGCCAATTCTATATATATAGCCAGGCAATCATTTATTATAATTAGTATGACTCAGTTTAACAAAACCGACTAATCCCCGTGCAATAAAATTTATTATTATCAGAATAGTTGCATCATCCTTCTCAAGTCACCGTCTAGATGCCTCTGTTACCAGTTTTTGAAATTTTATGTAAACTGATTACGTGAAATATTTTGACAGTATTTAAAGTTTATCTCAATTTAACTGTATTAAAATATCCTTTAAGTTGACTTGACCCTATGCTTGCTGCGCCTCCAGAATGTGTTTGTTATCAGTTTTTGACGTTATTTATAGGCTGGCTTATATACGTACAATATTTTAACTATATTTAAATGTATAGTAAATGTATAGCTATTTTTCTTAGATAAAATATTCATGAGTTTAAGTTTCATGAGTTTAAAATATTCGCCTCCAGGATGTCCTTGTTATCAGTTTTTGACGTTATTTATAGGCTGGCTTATATACGTACAATATTTTAACTATATTTCAATTTCTGGTTATTTTTTTAACTAAAATATTCATGAGTTTAAGTTTCACGAGTTTAAAATATTCGCCTCCAGAATGTCCTTGTTATCAGTTTTTGACGTTATATATAGGCTAGCTTATATACTAGAAATATTTTGCAAATATTTAAATTTTATATTAATTTTTCTGTATACCTGAATTTGACTTGACCCGACGCTCGCCACGCGACCAAGTTCGCCTCTCCACGCGGCCGCCCGCAGCTCTGCAATTCTCTGGCCAGAAATTGTCACCAATTTCGTCAAGTGATCATACAGGACACGGGACGACCTGAAGCGCCTCAGGCCAATTCTTGCGCACGTCTTGTAATAAAAACTCGAGCTTTGAGACGGTCTCAGA